AAAAAAAAAAAAAGGATAGAAAGAGTCTGAAAGACACTTTATTTGTGTACTAATTTCGCCAAAAAAAAAAAAAAAAAAGGATAGAAAGTCCCACTTACGCAGATCTTTGGTTTCTGGTCGTTGATCTTCCAAATCTGTGGTCGGAAATCGATCATTCGGGTAAGTGGGACTTGGCCCCCGGAGCCTCCCGCCTGAAGTGCTTCGTTTCCGAGAGACCTCCTTCCCTGCCTCCGAGTTTCATCGGAGTTTTGAGAGTGGAGCTGGATAGGACAAAAAAAATGTGGAGAGTCCTGGAGCAAGGACCTGGCCCCACTACTCACAAAATGTCCAGGACGATTCCTCCTCTAGAACATGGACAGATATGCCGGCATATTTTTGGCGAACACCAGACTCCAAATCACAAAGGCGGAGGGCGGGGTTAAGGGATGGAGGGAGACTCCACTGGTGTCCCCCGGTGTTTCTCCCCCCAATACCCGACCCTGCCGCAGGTTAGGAATGGAAGAGTAGACTGGATATGGGACGCTGGACCCGGTTTCCAGCAGGTGTGGCTCCCCACCAATAGATGGAGCGGCCCTCCAGGCAAAGCCTCAATCCCGGTGGTTCTCGTACCACCACCAGGATAGAGGCCTTGCACAAGGGCCTTCAAAAAAAAAAAAAAAAAAAATCACAAAGGCGGCTGACCACACCGAACACAAAACAGCGCCCTGCCGGTTCGAATGGGCGCCACAGAAACACACACAAAAAAAAGCCAGAAACTTCTAACCAATGGATGCCGTAGGAAACACCTTGGGCCCAGCCCCTGTCCCGCCCGTTTCCCAACACTTGTAGCCAGAGGTCTCGCAGGAGCATTATGCGAGACCCGCCTTACTTACTTTGTATAGAATATATAATATATAGAAGAAACAAAGAAGGTGGAGAAGTCGCAAAGGTAGGTTGGAAAGGTGGTGGGTCAACTTAGTAAGGGTTAACTTAATAGGATAAGCTTAGCGCATTTAAGTTATTGGGGTTAACGTAGTTGGGTTAACTACTAATATTTGCTGTTGTGTATTACTACGCTTAGTTAGGGTTAACTTAGTTATCTTTGATGTTGTGTGTTAGGTTCACACCTGTCGTTGCTGTTGTAGTTGTTGTTGTTGTTGTTGTTGTTGTTGTTGTTGTTGTTGTTGTTGTTGTCGTGTACACCTGTGGTAATGCTTGGTTGAAGTCTGGCCGGTGCCGTGACTTGTCCCTCATGTGCTTTCATGGTTGAGGTCAAGTCGAGTCTGGGTACACAACAACTGGGTCATGGTCGATCCATGCTGGGGTTGGGTGAAATGTCCGTCACGGGGCGTCACTTTGATCGCAGCTCACTTTACGTATTGGTTAAGTACTCCACCGCTTTGGTGGTAGGTCATAGGTTCGATTCCTATTGAGTTGGTCTTGGACTTACTCTTGTGTATAAAAACAAGCAGTTGTTGGGAGGCTGGCTGTGGTGCAGCTGGCTGCAAATTTTAGGCATGGGGTAGTAGGGTTAACTTAGTAAGGTTTTAACTTAGTAGGCTTAACTTAGTAAGATTTTAGCTTAGTAGGTTTAACTGAGTAATCTTTGATGTTGTGTGTTACTTTCGCACCTGTTGTTGTTGTTGTTGCAGTTGTTCGGAGCCTTGCAATGGCTAAGCTGCAAATTTAGGCATGGGTTAGTAGGGTTAACGTAGTAAGGGGTTAACTTAGTACGGTTTTAACTTTTAACTTAGTACGGTTTTAACTTTTAA